TTCTAGTGATAAATAATTTTTCTAATAATTTATTCAAAAATACTTGCTGAGGAATCAATTTATCTGAATCTTTGTTTACCAATATAGGCGATGATGACTGGTACAATGCCAAATTTTATAGATATAGTACTGAACTTTGGAAGTAAAGCTTTGAACAGTGACAGTCTATTGCTTCAAGCACAGAGAAATGGATACAAACTAATATTTTATGGAGATGATACTTGGCTCTCTTTATTTCCTCAAATATTTGATCGTCACGATGGCACTACTTCATTTTTTGTGACTGATTTTACAGAGGTAATTAGTATATGTTACATAAAATGTAATAAATTATTCTTTGTAATGAGATTATTCTTAAAAGACTAACTGCTTATTAAATACTAAAGGTGGATAATAATGTGACACGACACTTACAAGATGAATTGAATCGTGATGATTGGACTGTGATGATTCTTCATTATCTTGGATTAGATCACATTGGTCATGTCGAAGGTCCATTTGGCGCTTCAATTAAACCTAAACTACAAGAAATGGACAAGATTGTCAGTCAGATAGCTCAAAGAGTACAAGATTTGGTCAGTATCTAAAAAAACTTTAATTCTCATTTACAATCTTTTTATTTTTCCTTTCAAAAAATTTATAGAACGATAATACATGTAAATATTTATAAGATGTTATTTAAAAGATATTAGTCTTATTTTTCAGAGAATAAAGATCTTATTTATATTTTTTTAGAACAACAATGGAACACCTGTCCTCTTTGTCGTTTGTGGTGATCATGGGATGAAGGATTCAGGTGGTCATGGTGGTTCAACACCAGAAGAGACGACAGTACCGTTTATCGCGATAGGAGGAACTCGCTGCTCGCCTCAAGAAGAAAATAAGACTGTCGAGATTGAGCAACTTGACATTGCAGCGACATTATCAACTGTTCTTGGATTACCTATTCCTTCTACGAACCTTGGATCTACATTCCTAGACAGTATCTATGATCTTGATGATGCTAAGCGACTCTTCCTTCTCTATTATAACTCGAAGCAGATATTTGATCGTTTCCAAAAACAAGAACAACAATCGCAAAGTGAGTATAAATATTTGACTTAAAAAATATTTACGAATCAAAATATTAGAAAAATCTTAATATTTGAAATAATGACAAACTGAATATGGAAAGCTCAGTTTTTAAGATATATAAGTTGAAAAAAAAAAAGAAATTAGCTTAAGATGTAAGAATTCGAAATCCATTTTTCTAGAAAATTTAGAAATTTAAAAATCCAAACAGATAATCTGTGAATATATCTGTGGACTGTGGTATTTAAATAAGCATAAAAAAGAGTATGACAACTATATTAGTATATAATTTCGAAAATTTAAGAATTTATTCTACATATCAAAAGGTAAAATTGATCGATATGAAAAATTTATAGTTAAATATAATAAGAATGCAAATTGAAAAATTTATTTTTGAAAAATTTTTTTTATATTATTGAGCTGAATGAAATTTTTGAACACTATTTTTTTTTTTGCACACCAATTTTATTGCAATAATTGGTATCAGCTCGTGGGTTGAGCTACCTATCGAGCGCGTCTCCGAGTGGTGGATAGGAGGATGGCCAGACAGCACTGGGTGTCCGGATCGTCTGGTTAGTGACAGCCATAGCTTTTTTCGATGGGCGAAGGCCATCGGAACGAGATAAAACTGTCGCCGCGAACCAGCTTTCTAAGCCAAGTTGTGAGCTATCGTGATGAAGGCTGCATGGCACTAGGAGAGTAGTGTCGTAAACGGTGCCTCCGGGGAACCAGGTGACACCCCGGCAGTATATAGCCTTACCCAGGCATGCGGGGCTCTGCGTGGGTGGACCGTATCTTCCCTAGCTGCGCGTGGGATTCAAATGGAAGTACCTAATTGCAAATACAAAATTGATGATATTAAAATAAATATAGAGGGTTCACAGATCTTTACCACTACGACAGTTACTAACGGCAGTTACGATACCGTTCAATCTTTGGATTCGCAAAGTACTGTATTTACCAAAAATCAACGGAGTAATGGCGTGAAATCCAAAAGGAAAAGATCTGGCGCACAAAGAAAGAAAAAGAAGAAAGCAGCTTTGTCCAATCTTGTCTTCAATTTTTCGGCGCCGTCAACATCATTGCAACCAATAGCAAACACATCTGGCATCGGCATTAAGCGCCTGCAAAGCTGCATGGACAGCTTCGAAATGAACAATTACACGAAGAAAATTAAATTATTTCATGAAAAAACTCAGACAGAGGATGATGATTCTTTGACTGGAGCAATAGTGTCGATGAACATACCATTAGGTCTGGAACAGTTAATTCTGTTCCGCAGTGCAATCTTGAAAGAGATTGACAAGATCATCGAAGGTCCCATGCCTAAATTTCATGGTTCATATATTAAGTTGGGTGCTATAGTAGTTAAATGTGCCGACAAGGCATCTCTTCACTGGCTATCAATGCAGATCACCAATATCTCGCCATGGCCTTCGACTATGTTCAAGATGATCTCCTTAAATGAGCTGCACACATATTTTCGAGCTACCGTATGGATTCCGAGTCCACTCGAATCCACTGCGATCGTGTTGCAGCGGCTGCAGCGTCAAAACCCGAGTCTTGATACGGCGAGCTGGCGAATATATTCAGAGAATTTGAAAACTTTTGAAGAAGGAAGAACCTTATTTCTAGGAATGCCAAAATTGGACTTTGAAAAACTTCAAGCGTCCAATTTCAAGGCTTATCTAGGTCTCGAACAAATTAACTTTATCTTTAACATTTGAATTATTTTCAACAGGAAAGCTCATTTCTTTAACAAAAATGAGTTTTATTCGAATAAATGTAATAAACTCTTTAATGTTCGTAAAAGATTATAATGCAGAAATATTCTTCCTTAATATAAAACAAAAAAACAAAAGCAATATTTTTTGTATATTTTTTTAATTTTATACCAATAAAAATAAATAAAAATAGGAACATATTTTTTTATGTATCAAAAAATAATTTAATATTTATACATCACATTTATACATTTTTTGTGTTTGTGTCGTACATGTAATCGTTTCTTCTATTTTTGTTCTATGTATATTTCTTTTTCGAAAACATTCAAATCTGAAAAAAGAGCTGTAAAGTATTTATGAAGATTTATTTTAGTAGAATCTTTTTAGTATTTATCTTGGTAGAATTCTTTTAAATTTTAATTACCTGTATACAACCAGATAACATTGATATAGAATCCATATTTGCAATAGATCAGATATTCAAACTTTAAGGAAATTCTTTTGTAAATTTAAGAATAGCAGAACTTTTCTTCTGCTTTATTTCAAAATTTTTAAGATCTCAGAGAAAAATGTTGATTAAAAGTCTTTTTTAAAATATTGAATAATCGAGAAACAGAAAAATTCTTAGGAAAAGACTTTCTTTTTATTATTGCAATAATAGAAATTATTATTGCAATCTTGAAATTTGGTAATGGAGATAAGTTGAAACTATAATTATGGTAATGGAGATAAGTTGAAACTATAATTTATAGTTTAAACTTATTTTTCCTTTAACTTATACGTCGTAATATATCTCACTTACATTGGAACAACACGTAATTCAATGTCTAGAGCGGCCGATTAATAATTAGTGGTAATAAAAGATCCAAACTTAACTCTGATACAAATAAATACAATGAAAATGAAATGGAGCATATATGTAATAGTATTGTTAATAGAATATTGTGTATTTTCATTGTATTTACACACACACACACACACACACACACACCATACGTTATAGTAAAAGTATAAGTTATTTTTGCTACAAGTGACTTATATTGGATCTTCGACGATTGATTTTATCTTTCGATATATTCTAAAATATTTCGAATTAGTCATTAGTCATTATATGAAGAAAAATTCAATATTTTCTAGATGTATCTCAAAGATATTTGGATGCCGTGAATCTGCATGTTGCTTGGCTAAATACGAGTGAGAAGCAGAGCGAAATGGTTAAAAATATCGTCTCGTCTTATAACGCAATTCTTAAGGAAATGAAGGACACTTTAATTACATGTATGATCGAATACGGATATTTTGGTCCACTAGGCATTGCCATAGTTCTCCTGTTCGAAGTTAGTAAAACAGAAGAATTTGAAAAAATTTATAAGCATATAAAGCATATAAGAAAGACTAAAAATAAAAAATCATATTCAAAAAGCATCCAAATGAAACTTAAGGAATCGAAAAAATAATAAAATAATCTGTTAAATAAATTTGGGAATAATGTATAACTTTATAAATGGACTTTATAATTTTTATTTGCTCTAGATTGGAAAAATTTGAATTTACAGAATTGAATATTAATTTTATTCTACGTTTTTTTCCAGATATGCGTCATTTCATTTTTTACGCAAGAAGCTGTTTGGACTATGGATAAAAGGCGTGATTTCATCTTTTTATCAGGCCTCCTCGTGTGTCTAGGATTCGCTTATATTTCCACCCATTTTGCGAACATGAATTTTTCTTTCCCAACGAATCTGTTTAATGCTGTCTTGTTTTTATTAATTATTAACATTTTTTATATTAATAATGGGCTCGTGCGTAGCTTCAGCTTTAAGGTGAGGATCAATATTTAATTTTAAAATTAGTAAAAAATATTAATTCAGATAATTGAAAAAACATTTCTTATACAATAAATAATTAAATAATCTCTAAAAATTTATTGATATGTTATAAATTTATGAGATTAATTCTTTTACATTTTTTATAGGTAAAATTCTTATTACATTTTAAAACTCTAAATAATATTTTCAAATAAACATTAGTTTAACTATATATAATAATTACAAAATATTTACAATATTAACAAATTAATATTTACAAAAATTTTAATTCATAATTGAATACAGTTCAAAAAAGGACCAAAGATACACAAAATGTTCCAAATCGGTGCATTATTGCATATAGTGAGCCTCGCTGGTACCAGCTTTATTGAAGAGGAGCATCAAACGTGGTATTTCTTTTGGACCAGTACTATCTTATACTTCCTCTATTATTGCTTCACAAAATTGTTCGTGTGCCATCAATGGTGAGTAAAATCTTCCCGATACGATAATCGTTCAAATCAGATAATGAATTTATTATTTTTGCACTAAAGAATCAATATTTAATTTATATATAATTTTTCAACGATTATATATTTTATGTACGAAACAATTAGTAATTAATCCATTACAGTTTACATTGTTTTTATCCGTTAATTTTAAATATAAAAAATATAATAATTTGTTTATCAATTTATTCATTCAGTTATGTAAATTTATGTAAATTGCATTGTGCAATAGCTGAATTTCTTTGGCATCTAATATTACGATATATACGATAGCAACCTTACGAGTATTAAGATGTCATCTGGGATAGGACTAAGTTGCAGCAATATTAGGCATCACGTAAAAGTTTGCGTTAAGCTATTCTTGTTGCTGATAGGACACCGAGTTCTCTGTAAGCTAAATAGCACCGGTGACAAATGGGCCCATCTACCAGATATAGCTCACTGGTTGAAAGAAGATGATAGCAAAATCGGAATGACATCCCTTCTTTTATTTGGTAAAATCTCCAAACACAAAAGCTTTATTTTTTTGCAATATAATTTTTTTTAATTAGTAAGTGATTGGGAAATAAGTCATTTCTTTAATTATATAATTAATCTTTGACATATAATAGGATACGATATGAGGTATCCTATACAATATTCGAATCGATAATTTGTCATATTTTTCTTCAGCTCTCATTCTTCTGATTTGGATTGGGTACAAATGCGAAGATAAAAACTATAAACAATTTTCATTTTTCCTTAATGTGTCTCTCGCAATATGTATATATTTTCGTCACATGTCCAATGGTGCTGTTATGGAAATTCATCCATTGTATTTTTCAAAGTAAATAATTGCATTATATTTATATTTCACATAAATATCTATTTTTAAATAGTTTAAGAAGCAAATCTTTGTGAATTTTTCTTACAGTGGAATATACGAGGTACAAACCTTTTGGATGATAACAACGTTCTCTCTCTTAAGCTATGCCTATCGAATAATATTAATAATTAGGCATGATAAACAACGTTTTGCAAGCACGATATTGTTTTTTATCATAAATATTTGGGTAAAGATTTCGGCGATGCTACATCAACCATATAATGTGATTTTATTGCCAATGCAGATCATCACAAGTTCGACAATTGACGCTGTATTGAGAGAAAACAATTTGCTCGATCTCGGGATTCTCGTACATTACTGGCTAGGCAATGTATTTTATTTCTACCAGGTAAATAATATGATTTTGCAATTCCAAGATTTTTATTAATTTACAGAAGTTTTTGACAATAAACTTGCGTGTCTCTCTCTAATCAAATCTGTTCTTCCATAAATAAATTAAAAATATTTAGAAATATTTTATTTTTGCTGTTTGGATTAATTGGAATAACTTTTTTGCTATTAGAATTTTTGCAAACTTTTGTTATGAAATATTCAAAACGTTTTAATGTATTCTAATTTTAGATATTTAATATTATATATTAGCATATAAAAAATTAATCGTAAAACTATTTTTATCTTTATAACATGTCCTTGACAAGAGATAATATAAATTTTTATGAAGAAGATAAAAATAATTTTATAATTAAAATTTTAAATCTAATAATTCATTCAGTTCGTTAATTATTTATATTATAATATATGATTAATATTTTAGGGGAATTCCAACAGTCTTGCAAGTATAGACGTCGCGGCAGGATACGTCGGTCTGTCTTCCTACATGCCTTTCATTACTGGTGCATATTTAATTATTAATACTTATTCCGCAATCGTTCTGGCTTATTTCCTCTTCATTTATCATCGGCAAGCACATCAAACATCCGGGTAAGTAATCCTTTTTTAAAATTCTTGCCTTGCAATGGACCGATGTCTAACAAGAAAATTGATTCGTAGTACGGACATCATAAGTATCAGCAAGACTTATATCGCATGGAGACTAATGACTGTAACCGTCTATATATTCATTATCCATATTCAGCGTTTTCATCTGTTTGTATGGTCGGTATTCTCACCGAAATTGTTGTACGAGGCGATGTATTCCGTGATAATGTGTTGTAGCGTGTTATTAGTACTGATTGTGATTACATTGCAAGTTGCAATGATTCCTAATTATTAGTTGTATAAAAATTAAGACTGCGTGATGCTGTAAAGAATAACTAAGAATCGGATATATACATTCCGATAAACAGATTTATATTATAATTAATTTATACAGATTTCTATTTTTATTACTTTATATAGATTTATATTTTAGTAATTATATATAAGCTTAATTAATATATTCAAATTAATAACATCTATAAGCTGTGATGATAATGATAGATTATTTCTATAAGGCTTGATAAAATAAATTTACGAGAAGATTGTTTAATGAAGATTTTATTTCCATCTTAAAAAATTTTATTGCATGAAACTAAATCTAGAACGCAGTATTAAGAGCGTTGGGACAATGATATGCTATAATTAAAGTTAGTAAAATAAATGTGCTACATGAGTGGAATATAAATTAACAAAAATTATATTATTAAATCTCCAAATTAATGTTGACTTATATGATATGAATGAATTCTTAATCTCTCTACTCCTTTTTTATTTTAGCCACTATAATAAAGGCAACAAAAATGAATTTAAACAAAACGAATAATCTGTTGTTTAAGAATCTTAATGTTCAACATTAGAAAAATATTCTTAAACATCATACCTTTCAAATGTAAACAAATTTACTTTTTGAATCCGTCTAATTATGTGTCGTTTAAATTTATTAAAATTGAACAACTTTGATTCTTAATTTCTTCTTCACTCACACAACGAATTTCGTAAATAATTTAGAATATAAAAAACAGATAATATACGCGTATCATCATTGTGAAACCAATAGTTGTGGGAGCAATATGAAAGAAGAGATTAAGTTTGCAAAATGCTCAGTTTAATGGAGATTTGATTATTTTGAAAACATTGTATTGTGTCTAACATTGTACTTCTTATTAATGAGAAATCGAGGAATCTATATAATAAAGATATGACACTGTCTCACAGAGAACCTCGAGCCAGCGAGATTCTTACTCCTAATTCGAATTTAAATGATTATCTGCAACTTTACAGAATATATTTAATTTGCTAAAGTTTCCGTTAATCTGCAATTGCTACAAATAAATTACTATCGTTGCTGAAAGGTCCGATGTCTTTGCAATTCTACAATGAACTTGCGAAATAGAACATCATACGGATGTTAATATTATCAATAGGAACATCTTTATGTACAAGTATTCTACATAATACTAAAATCCTCATGAATGCAAGATGTCTCTGATTTATCAGGCCTTTTGTTTCTGCAAAGAGCCACAATCATTATGAAAATATCTTGGAACAATATTTCCATAATATTGACATAATATTTATTAAGATAACTTTCTTCTTTTCTTTCTTTAAATGAAATCTGAAAGATGAAGATGAAAGATCAATGATCATCTATATGAGACATCTTGAATTATGATAGAATCAGGAGCGAGAAAAATAATGCTTCCCAACGTTCTTGACTTTTTGTCAAGGAAAAAGTTTCATTAATCAGAACGATTTGATAAAATGAGATGAAAATTCCACTATCAGCCTGATGTATCGTGCGAAAGCTCACATATGCGCTCGTTTAAGCTCACAATCGACGACTCTGCCCGTCTGAGATTCGTCATTACATCGCAAAATATAAATATGCATATCGCTATAGAAAAATACCGGTGCTCTGTTCGGCTCTCGTTTGGCAACATTTAACGCATTGTAAGTATACGAAGCTCATTCTTAAAAATCTTCGAGTCTTTTGGATGTCTTGAGTTTGTAGCAACTGAATTATAATGTTGGTATTTACGATACTATATACTAATGATATATACACTTAACAATATACCCGTATATTTTTTAAAACGCATTTGATATTTCGAAGACGTTGAACGAATTGAATTAAAATGGCGAATTCATTCCGAGCTTCGTGCCAAATTCTAGACGCGCTCTTTTTTGATATCTAACATTCACCCTGAAAAAGAAAAAGAAACATTAATTTTCAAAAATTGAAATGATTGAAAACGTATAAAACGAAATAGAAATATTTACTTGATCTCTTGCCACTTGATTAACTCATTAATCGCAAATATCAGCGGAACAGAAAGAAGAAAGAACAATGGTACGTGTATCGGGAAGTTCTCGATCTTTTTGCCTTCCTCTCGCCAAAACCTGCGGAACGCTACACCGGAGAACATTGCCTGTACACATAATCTACAACAATAATATAACTTATATTAAATGTGATAAATGTATTTTAAAATTAATTGATATATATATATATATATATATATATAATAATATATATTATATATA